GCGGTTGTCTGGTTGCGGGCACACCGTGCGGCACTACAACGAGTCTGGCGGTGTTGACGGTTGCGGTTGTCTGGTTGCGGGCACACCGTGCGGCACTACGACGAGTCTGGCGGTGTTGACGGTTGCGGTTGTCTGGTTGCAGACACACCATACGGCAGCGTGCCAATCCTGATGGTGGACGGCCAGCCGCTGTGTCAGACCCTGGCCATAGCGCGGTACGCCGGCACCCTCGGCGGACTCGTCTCCAAAGATGCGCTCAAGAACGCCCTCGGGGACGAGGCGGCCGACACCATGGCCGAGGTGGTCTCCAAGTTCTTCGATACAGTGTAAGCCCGTCGTCTGTGCTCTTCCTTACCCGTGTTACAGGGTGGTCTGGGCCCCGGACACCGGATATTTAGCAGCCATCCAAAAAGACCTGTAGCCGGGCCCGCATCGGCGTTATCCCTGTTCTGTATCGTGTTCTTCTGGAAGAAGAGAAGGGCTTACTGGGGAAGGGTGTTGCAGAGACCGAGGCCTGGTGTACACGCCTTGCGACAACTGTTATGTGTCCGAGTCGTGTGAGGATCTCCTGCTGCTGCGCGCTGCTGCTAGTTGAGTGTGTACCAGAGAAGTCTCGGAGAGAACGGAGCTGCCACACGAGCAGTCAGGTTCGCCGAGTTACCTGCTGAGCTGCCTCGTGAACAGTCAGGTTCACCAAGTCATCAGTTTTGTCGGCTGCATGACGCTGCGTTTCGGCTGCAGGTTCGAGAAGGATGCTGAGAAGAAAGCGTCCACAGAGAAGTCGCTGTTCGAGGAATACCTGCCGAAGGTGTTGAACGTCTGGGAGTCGCGGATGAGCGGAGCATTCCTCGCTGACGACAAGGTAATTAATGATGACTTCTGTGTCTCACGCCCAGCAGCCGTCATCAGTAAGGGGAACGTCATTAGCTTCTGATTCGGCATGAGTGTCGCTAGATGTATGTGCATCATTGCAAGGGGCATTTGCTTGTCGCGCGGCACCATATGTGCGTACCTCAGTTAGATAGCGAACTACATACGACTTACACGCTAACTGACATTCGACTTAACTAACGGACACTTTAATTCCTCTAATTCTGGCATTTCTTTTGGACCTGCGGAAAGCCGCAATGAAACCTTTATCTTAACCTTCATCATGACATGGTAGCGCCAATGGCTTTAACCATCGTATGTGTCCATCGCCCGCCGCCTATCACCTGCAGCCTATCACCTGTGAGCTTGACCCGTACCCTGTGAATTTCATCAGTACCATTGACCTTTACCCTGCAAACATTGACCCGGAAACGTGACCTTGTTTGTGACTGTTTCAGGCGATGTGGCAGGACGTGTTTGTGGGCCACTGGCTCTCCCGCCTGGAGGAGGCCCGGCCCGACTTATTGGCCAAGTTCCCCAAGCTGGCCGGCCAGAAGAACAAGGTGCTGGCCCTGGACGGCATCAAGAAGTATCTGGCCAGCCCTCCCCAGTACAGCCTTCCGTTGTAGAGCGGACGACAAGGCACCTGCCGCACAGCGAGAGCCAGCACGCCGCGTAACCCTGCGACGCCGCGCCTCCCACCACGGTGACGCGGTGGTGACACGGTCCTCTCTGACGCAGCGGAAGCGACGCGACTTCACTACCTCTTCTCTCGTCCACCGTCCTTGTCGCCGGTTGCATTTCTGGTGTCTGCACCGGCACTGCGTGTACGCCGCGCCTCCTCTTCGGTCAGAGGGCGCCTTGCCCCGGAACAGAGATGTCACGAGCCGGTCGCCTGGCTCGTTCGTCCTATCTCCATTTCACCCATGCACAGGGTAACGAAGTTGTGTTCAGCCGGAATATGGCCATTTAGGGGTGACTTTGAGCCTACTTGCACGCGGACATAGATAGACATTGTTTTCTGGCGGATGGAAACTCACGGAACCGTTCATCACCATTGTTTCTGTCGAAAAGTTGCGAAAGACGTCCACTTTCTCGTGAAAGCGACATGGATGCGTATTTTTCGCGACGTTTGGCGGTACGATACATCAACATTTGCTGTAATTTGTTTTCTCTTCAGTCTCACCCAGCGCTCCAACTCTGACTCCAAGTCAGTATCCATGGTAACGGTATTTCGACAAGAGCTCCTCTCTTCACGACTTGGCGGGAAGCTGCCTGCACCCCGCGCGCCGGATGTAGACAGATCTCCCCCGCCCCGCCCCCCCCCCCCCCCCTCCCCCCCGCTCAGCAGCCGCGCAGCCCCTCTCGCAAACCATCTCCGGTTTGTCAGCCACCAGCGGCGTGGTCAGGGGCGTTCGAAGTAACGGCGAGTACCTCAAATTATCAGCCAAATAACGTAACGGGGGCACTTCAACGAAAACTACATGAAACGCCGACATGGCGTGAAACGTCTAGTTTCTTCCTAAGATGTACCCAAAACCCGAAGACCCCAAACGCGATACGACACACCAGCCTGTCTCCTTTCTTCAGGACTAGGACGGCACGCATCAGCGAACAACATTGTGACCTGTTAAACCTCGCCCGACGAATTCTGGACAGCTGCGCTGGCATGACCAATGTGCTCTTTCATTACGACGAAGCGGAATTACACGCCACCGTGTCCGTATCCCGCTGCTTTTCCGCATGTGCACAGTGGACACAAAGGACAGCACGGTGCCTGCATTGATCCGGGCGGCGTCGATGCTGCGTTCGGAACGGCCACAGGCCGTCATGGCAACACATGCAACACATCAACACGGACACAGGAGTGCAACACCCGCAATGCATTCGCGGCGGCAGCCACAGCAGCGCCGGGGCGGCGGGCTACCGGCGACCCCAGTGACCTCCGAGGTGCTGAGGTGCAGATGATGGGAACTGCAGCCGGCCAGCGGAGCATTACTTACCCCGAGCCGCCAGGTGGCGGTGGGTGGGCAATCGACGACCCGAATCGTAGGGGGCGCCACATGCTGGGGCGGCGACGAAGTGGCCTATCTTTCGTCTGTTGCATGCGGCGTCGTTTCCCGTCAATTTAACCACTAAAGGTGCAATTTCTTCGTACCAACATCACAAATCCGAATAAGATTTGACCTGCTTTGTTCAGTCATGCTCTGATTACGATTGTGAAATTTTGAGACCTGTAAGCCCAGCTGGTGATCACGTCAGATTATAACCTCATAACAGAAATATGCTGAGTAGAAGGATGACAACTCCTAAGCCATTACGCATGTTCTGAATAAAAAAACAGCATCATACAGGCAATCCAACGTCCAAAATAAAAGGAAAATGTAAGTGTTGACACCATCACCGGGTTACGTTGCTTTTCCACCACAAAAGGCCGATTTGCCAAGTTGATGACAGCTTTGTTTAGTTACAAACCTGAATCGTATAAATCGTCGTTCAGTACTACATCGCAGACTACTCATACATGAATGAAGACTCGCCGAATCCTCGTGGAGTGCGGGTGCAAACATAGCAGGGCTCACACGCGCCTTCCGCAGTTCTCCGCCAGCCGGCCGGCCGGCGCCAATACCAGCCAGTCATCTGCCCCTACCCCCCTCTCGGTGGTCCAGGAAGACGTCTCCAGACGGCTGGAAAAAAGGAAAAAATAGTAAAAAAGGTTGAAAGATGCTAGTATCGCAGTAATCGTCCTTCTCCCCACGCCAAAAGGCATCAGCCGTCTCAGTTCCGGCTAAGTTAACGGCACGGGTTTTGTCTGGATAAGCGGCCTTACGTGCTCAGTGGTTATGAAGCGCCCATACACCTCGAAAGGCAGTGTTTCTGTTAACATGCCTCATCTGAATCATCAAGTGACCAAAACAGTTTCGTGATGTGTCACTCAAAGGTACATGGTTAGCTGGCGTTCACTTCTGGGACCTGTATTTGCCGGTGACAAGCTATGCACACAATACAACAACCAAGTCCTAGCAATGGATTCTCAGGCCATGCGTCAGCCACATTCAGGTGCGATTCTTATCCCGTGATTGGTCAGAGCAGGTGGTGTCACAGTCTGAAAACCCGTGAAACCCCGGTTGTCATGGTGATTAGCTCCGCGGCACCGGGATCAAAACTCACGCTCGCGTTGTTTTTGCTTCGATAAGTAGAGGGCGAAATACCGGCATTATAGGAAATATCTGGTTGATTTGAAAGATAGAATATCGGACAACCCCAAAGATTTCGCTAGCAATGATTAATAGGAGTCAACTTCTGCTCTCCACGCCGCTTACTTTTTATTTGAGGTGCTCATTTTGTTTTGACGGCTTATCTGGCGCAGTGATGTGATACCTTTTCATGACCTTGCAAATCAAAATAACAAAGGTAAGGCTTGAGGTAAGACACCAGTGTGAATGTAAGCATCGGGCATCAACCAACAGCTGCTTATAAGTGCTGACCCGGGTATGAGCTTAAGAAGGGATGATGTTTTTGGATGTTATTTAAGGGAATATTAAGTAATTATTACTGTGTCATTGATCTGTGTCCTGCGTAGTGTCAAGCATCGTTTTGGTCGGGTATTGAATGCCATAGGATTGGCTAGAATATTAAAAACGACTGAACACCACTTTGGCTATCTTAGATGCATATGGTGTCATTTCCAAATGCATCGGCCGGATAGTTCGGCAGAGCTGTTCACCCGGCACCAATAACGGTCCGTGTGACATGGGGTGGGATGCTGCTGGCTCCAGACCTGCCTGGCTCTGTACCCGCAGATGGGCAACGACATTAAAGCGTCCCACACCGTCAACGCATTCCACTCGTTAATGGCGTTGCAGTTCAGGAGCCGCCACGCACGTCCGCGGCTACGGGTCGGACCGCGGGTGTCCGTGAGCCTCAGGAGGTCGACCACCCGGCGCCATGACCCTAGCGCCGGTCACGGCGCCGGACGACGTGGCCGCCCGGCTCACTCTACGCAGCGAGAACTCCTGACCCTGGGACGCGGCCCGTGTCAGGAGTTTTCAGGTCAGGTCAGGGGCCCGGCCCCGCTCCTGACACGGCCCGTCGCCGAAGGCCTGCAGGAGCTGCTCTTCGATCCTGAAATGGTGTCCTGGTACCGGCACCAGCAAGAGCGGCCATCGACCAAGCTGCCGACCGGTGTGCCGGCCAACTCACTGACCGTGTGTCGTCTACTCGCAAATTATAATGCTTTGGTGTAAGCCCCACGCGAGAGAGCTCCCACGTGGTGCAACATCATGAACATGATGAACAAGCTGCCTGAGGCATCATGTCTTGAGCTGCAGCATCAAGACGTGTCCTATTCCGTATCAGGCCGGTGTGTCAGATACATAAGTAGCGTAACCATGGTGACCTGAGGCCAATCAGTTGGTTTAAGCCGTTTACAGCGGAGTGGGTTTGAACTAAATGTTATTACTTTCACAATCAACGTCAAAGTGGCAGGAGTTTGCTACGACTAACTCAGGCCTGAACGCTATTTAATCTTCAGTGGAATTATTTGCTTTTTTAATACTGGCAAACTGGCAACCCGAACAGACCGGGCCACCGTTGCTTACTGCGACGGACCGGCGCACGGCGATGCTGGCAAACATAATCGATTTGACCCGCAAAAAGCTATTTGCCTGGTTCCCGAATTTTTTCCGGGATCCGGTCCCAGCCTGTTCTCGGTTGCTGGTACCGGAACCAAGAAGACCTAGAAGCTGGTTTGAAATTAATTCGGAGATGTAGCCAGAACCAGTATTCAGCGCTGAATTAAACAAATGTTTAGCCAATAATACGGCCGGGGACCCCCGCAAGAATCCAGAGCCAGCCTGGAAATGTAATCAGGATCCAGCAACAACCGAGATGCAGCAAAAAGTCAAAGGCACCGACAAGAAGCAGGATCTTGCCTGGAAGCTTTGTTCGAAGCCATGACGTATTTACCTGGCGGGCTTACGTTTATGCGCCTCTGTACACGCATTAAAGATCAAATGTAAGACATATTTGACTTCAAAAAATAAGTTAAATTGACAGAATGTTGTCAAATGATGACGAATGAGCCAACAGGAGTCGAAATCAAAACGCTCGTGAGTGAATAATGGAAACCGAAAACAAGGGTATGGTGCTTGTGATGACTAATTGGAACTATTAACCGTATGTTGAGCTTGTAAAAAAATCGGGGTGAGAGCCAGGAGCCAAAACCTGGTGTTTCAAAACAAGTGAATGGGGTCCAGAATCAGGGGACTAGTGATGGTGAAAAATCAAATGAAACCAGGGGCCTGGGAGCATCGTTTTGATGAGGGAAGTGGGAATCAGAAATCAACATTGAAAGCCAGATACATGTCTGCTGGTAACGGATCCGTAAAGATGAACCCGAACACAACTTGAGGGACAATGTCGACGGGATATTTGGTATCCATCATAATTCATGTTTATCAGAATGTTGAGCAGATTGGTTATTGGTCAACATCAGGTAACATACTTCCTGTCCGTGGGTGCTGATTACAAGGAAAAATATCCGAACCCAACAAATCATTAATACCTTTCCCAAATGCCACCAGTTCTACAAGTTGCCTTCCGCTGTAATACCATGAACTCGCCGTAGTGGTGGTGCAACATTAGGTGGTTTTGGCCTCATAGTTGTCAGGCATGGGCAAGCACTTTTCAAAATTTGGGCAAGGAAATTGACACACCTATAGCTTAAGATGAATACCAGGTACGGAGAAAAGAAAATCGCTTTTTAACTGCACGTGTTGTAACTATTTTTCAGATCCCGGGTGTTCTGAACTTAGTTAAATTTAAGAGAACACTGCATGGTAACTACATCACATACAATTATTGCGTTTTGTGTGCACCAGCAAATTTATAAACAAGGCATGAACTTAAATTGTATTGACATGCTTGCATGTCATTACAATTTTGGTTGGCATAGCAAGTGGGGTTTAATTTTGTGTCGACGCAACTTTCCCTGCCTAAGTTAAGCGTAAAGCTCCCAAAAAATTCGCGGCTGCTCCCAAAGCCATAGGCTCTACATTGCGGAGATCAAGGCGTTCTGCCTATTGTTTTATAGCCTTGGTCGGGCCCATCGAGCCTGCTCCCTCAGCAGGGAACTCCAACTTCGCAGGATCCGCCACAGACAGGACCGAGGCTCTGCTCTATTCGGCAAACTTCGAACAACCAGGAGCCCCTTCAGCAGTCATCTGTGAAGCTGCATCTTCATCTTCATCATCGCCCATACAACTGCCAAAAACTGTAGCTGTTTTACAACTGTGCAGTTTAGACAACTGTCTTGTGTTCCTCTTGAGCCTCCAGAACCCCGTCGGTCAGCCTCATCTCTCGCGCGATGTTGATCAGGGCAACCTTAGCAAAACCTAGAAGCAGTTTTTCATTTTAATCAGGAACAGAGCAAGAAACGACAGTTTGGTTGCGCGTTATGTGGGCGAATGGATAACCCTGCGTGCGATGTTCACCGTCATTTGTCGCGCATAACATCCACTGCTGTGTTTCCGTGTCCTCTTCTTCGAGATAAATGCCGTATGACACAAGAGATCGATTGCTAAGTTTTACTTTCGCGGATTCAACCTGTTCTTTTCCCTTTTGTATTTACTGTCCCGGCTAGCGGTTGTTTAGAATGCAACACTTCTT